AAAATCCCACACAGTCTGATTTAGCATCAAGGAGGATGCTGTCCATGTCTATCAGCTTATCTTTTACAAAATCAACCTGGAATATAACATAGTCCCATAAGATTATAGTTTGTTAAAAAAAAAAAAACACATTAACTCTTTACACCCTGACATCAGTATGCAATTTTTCCTTCCTATTGTCTAATACATTTTTTACGGTGCTGAAAAGGAGAATTTTTAGGACAATCAGGAGCTTCTTCAGTTGGTGATCATTGCCTTTCTTATTGTGACCTTTGTGTGCGATCCAGGGGCCACATTGTAAGGAGAAATTAGATGCTAGTCACCCACAGGTGTTTAAGGGTTAACCCTTAAACTCCCAGATAAATCTTTTAATTCTCCTTACTGTCAACCATACAATTCTTATAATGTTGGTTCAGAGAATTTAGTATTGAATCAACCAATTATCCACAAATTGATATTTTTCTTTATTCTCATCACTTATCTGGTTGATATTGTATTGATATTGTAAGGAGAAATTCTTTCTTGGTCACTCATGGGAGTTAAAGGGTTAATTCAGTGATATGTTTATCATCAAGCAAAGAAATGATCCTTCCAAGTGGATTGCAATTTTGACAAAAGCAGAAAAGAAGCCTGGAAAAATTCAGGCTTTGAACCTGTGCCTCCCAAATACTAGTTGGGCGTTTAACTACAATTCCTCTCAGAAACCCTTTATCTGCAATGGCTAAAATTGCAGTCCATTTGCCAGGATCATTTCTTTGCTTGATTTATATCTGCAGTTCTAGTGAAATTTATAACAAGGCATTAAGATATTGACCAGACATCTCTGGTGTAAAAGCTGAAGTAAACAATTTTTGCATTGAGACTAGATACATCTATGTAAATGTTATTTCTGATTATAGATGTGATGGTATAATTTCTAAGGAATAATATTGATTACTTTAACTGCAAGGTCTAAATTTCATGCAAGAAAACAAGTAACTTTGAGTAATTAGTACCTTTGTTTCTATTTCTAAAAGACTTTCATTCACATTTTCTGCTGCTGCAAGCACTCCTGTTACTCCTTCATCTATTGTTTCATTAAAGACAAATCCTGCAATTCCTGCACCACTGAAATAAATGATAAATTGAGGTGACAAAAAGAATAACAGTACACCATTTAAACTGATTCTTAAATTTTCCAGTACTTTTTAACTAATCCATTGATATGATTGACTCTGAAATAATATTTTTAAACTAGACATTTTAGTAATTAATTACCCCAACAGAGTATTGAATATTACATGTACCAGTATTTCTTCCCTAATTAATTTGAAAAATCATAAACCAATATTATTTACAGGTACACCAACAGCACATGACATTTTTTATTTCATACGCTCTTAACTAATACTAAAAAAAATTACCAACCTGCACAAAACAGATGTAAACAGAACAATGCATCGCAAAGCTATCACACATTTTGCTTGAGGTCTTTGGTGCTTATCACAGGAACACCAACTTGCCAAGAAATGTCCACAGAAGATAAGAAATACAAGACCACCAAAAAGGCATAGACCCAAGGCATAAAGGAATAATGCCTGCAAAGGAAATAGAAATGGTGTCAAAACTTTATAAGTAAGACCTACAAATATTTAATGGTTATTACAGTACTGCAATTAGCTTTGGGTTTAGTTTTAGGGTAACCTCAATGGCAAAGAACAATTTATCTTTTGATAGCATAATATTTGTCAAGTTGTAACTATTCTCTTGCACACAGGCAGCCTCTTTTCTGTTTTGTGTCACTACACAGTTTAAAAGAGGTGCCACCATCAATTAGCCATACAGACATGTCTCTACCTTCGGAAAAAAAAAACAATTAACAAACTTTTCAAACGCCACTCAGTCACCCCTTTGATCGACTTGAACAGTATGTCTAAGCTAATTGAAAGTGGCGTCAAGAATCAACAGGTGACGTCTGTTACGTTTTATGCCTATTTATAAGTAGAGGCCGACCTGTAGCGATAATCTGCAGGCGCGAGAATTGCAGTATCATAAAAGAAAATGTACCCCCCCCGATAAGATCCCTTATATGAAGGGAAAACTTTCAGAAGCAAGCATTGTAATTCTCAAAATGCTTTAATTAAATCAAATGCAATGGCGGTACAGATGACATACATCAAATCAGGTAAGAAGAATCTCTGTGTTTGATCGAATCTCTACAATACAACCCACACTCAGATTTTATTTCCACTTAAAATAAAATCAAGATCTTCATAAATGGAACCGAACAACGACTTTTAACGCACTACTGTAATTGAGCCAACGTTTGTCCAAGAAAGTCGCTACGTTGTGCCTGAGAAACGCATCAAAATAAATCTAATATTTTCCTACCTGTTGGTAATCTTGAAGAGTAGGAGCAAAAACAGATGAAACATTATGAAAATAAAAATTAACGTGCGCAAAGGAATGGAAAAATTTTGCAATCCATGGTAATTGGAAAGTATCATCGACACTACAGTTCGCCATTACTCTATTTCGTACCTTGTCTCTCTCTTCGACCTTCTGATCTCCAGGTCCAAACTCGTGATCTTCCCGTGAAGGCGTGGGCCTACTAGAGTCTTTATTGCAACTCGTATTTCTAAATAAGTGAGTTAGTCCTGTCCAATCGTATATGTTTAAAATCACTCACTGACAAAAGATTCCCCAACTTAAAAATATAAATACAAAAAATTTAAGAAACTGTTCAGCACAAGGCTTACCTCTCGGCCGGCTTACCTTTAGGCAAGTTTCACCATCGTCCCACAGAAATTCGTTGGCTAATAACGACTCAGACCGTTTGGTCAATCAGCTAACGTCTCAAGTAGATTAGTCTTGGGTCGACGAGTTCAGGTATAGGGTCAGCGAGTTTATAGGGACCTTGAGAAGTCAGGACGGCAACGCCAAGGAAGACGCTGATTTGGAAATGAATTTATAATTTTTGTTGGAATTTCGCGAATGACTTGATGTGTCGACGCAAGTTAACCTCAGCATAACTTAGGAGAGCGACGTTGAGTTCCAAATGGAACTTAACTAATTTGCCGTCGTGGTTTCCTTTCACCAGGCCACACAAATTTTGGTGATTTCACGCTATTCTTTTACAGAGGACAGCCATCGACCAAGGGCCTGTTTACATGGAGGTTGGGGACCCCATGGGTACCCCAGGTAGATGAGGTAGTCCGCCTAAGTGGGGTAACCCGCCTGTCCATCTAATTTCTTAATTTATCTTGATCACGTTTACATTATAGGTGGCTGGGGTGACCCGCCTGGGCGGGTTGCCCGGTCTGCCAGGTAGGGTAACCCTGTCAGCCGGGGTGACAATTTGTCATGTAAACGTCTCAAGGTGGAGTAACCCGCCTAGCCGGGACCCCGTTCATGGCAAAAAGCTCAAAAGCGAAACACGTACGTTTTAGAACTTTGTACATTTCCTAGCCATGTCATGGCAGAAATCCCCAGAAACCGCAACGGACATACAAGGAGTATAAAGTGTTCCCATTTCGGAATATATGGCGTTGTAAATAGACCATATTTCAAACTATCATTATACGTAACGTATTGCTGGTTTTCACGTGACGTCACTAAATTTCAGACTTCAGAACTATTGATCCTCCTGAGATTTTACTTTCATGATGTATTAGAGCAGCTAAAAACTAATATTCAGACAAATTTTCACTCCAAATGGGTTCTTGGTTTAGTGATAGACTACTCTTGAATTTCTAAGCTTTTGCGTGACGTGGCCTTTACATGACGAGCGAGAGAGCTGTTATGTTGGTTTAAAAGGTGACTTATTTAGGGAAATTCAGCTATCTGAACAGTTCTTGTATTAGAATAAAGTATTATTGTTACGTTTATGAGTTCTTAGAGAGATAAATTCACGCTTTTGTAGCAAAACTCAGTGACAGATGTTTCTGCTGGTTTCCGGCCGCCATGTTGGTGCCCATCTAGGTGGGCACCAGCATGGCGGCTCCATACAAATCTCTATAAATTTGGGAAAAACGTTTCTCCTCATATCTTCCGTAAGAAAAATTGCTGTGACCTGAATCTTGGCGAGAGTCTTTACATATCTAGCTTCTTTCTATTTCCAGATTCTAGACTAAATCGATTGAACGGTTTTTATTTTTTATTTTGATCTATTTTGAATGGCGTGACACTGAAAACCAGCAATTAAGTCAATGCATGGTTCTTCGCGTAACCTAACACCGCGTAACACAACACGTACAAATACATACGTGTCCGAGAATTAATCTTTCGTCTGTCTCGAGACGTGAGGTTGGGATGCTCATGCTCAAACTCCCTAATTGAAAGCGCAACAACAACCTCAAGAAACCTCACCCCAGCACCCCGAGGTGGTAAGATTGAATGTAAACGCGTTTTATTTTCGACCACGGCTAGGCGGGTTATGTCACCTATCTGGGGTCCCCTACCTTGTAAACAAGCCCTAAGAAATGTACACAGTTTCGAAACGCACGTGCTGAGCTTTTGTTCTGCCCATTAGCTCTTTTGTTTTGCCACGTCCACGTTGCCGTTGCCGTCGTGGTTTGTAAAAGGTGTCTAATGTTTCAGGTCGGCGAGCTATGGTTTCGGTTCGGCAATGTATGTTCTCGGGTCGGTCTCGGGTCAGTCCGTTTATGTCTCGGGTCAGTCCGTTAATGTCTTGGGTCAGCGGATTCGTTAACGTCCCTGATTGGCGAGTTCGCTGTGAAGGGAGAAAGGACAATCGACCTAAAGCGCAGGAAAACGCGAGTGGCCCAGTAGCGACTGGTTTTTAGACTAGAATCCAAATGGATTAGAGTAAGGGGCGCGCGTTTTCTGGACCACTCACAAAGCGAAGTAAAGCAAAACCAAAGCACCCCCAGATTAATTTTATTAGAAGCTCAATTAAAGAGAACTCTAAGGGTAGCCTCAGGGACTATGTAGAGGATTCGAGAAATTCCACAATGTATGGATAACATTAAACAACATTAGAGATAATGAACAAAGACAGACGATTTTTAAAACGTTTTCATTCTATATTCAAAGGTACTACCTGCTCGCAATTCGTTTACAGCGTCTTATGTAATCTTTTCTACAACTGCAACAATCGTGATTCTGAAAGCTATTCATTCTATAAATATCACCTAAGTATTAGAAAAATCATTCAACGCATCGCATCAAGACTAAATCAACAGCATATCTATTTACGATCCCGTGATCATCAGAGATCAAACTAGAAACTAGAGGAGAGCTAAAAATGTTTACCTTTCCATCTTCATTCTTGATCAGCATGGTAAAAGCCTTGAAGGCTAAATTGAAAATGTACTTTCTCTCGAAGAAAATGCTACAGCCAAAACAAATTTGATCAGCTATTTTTTCCTGATTTTCTTGTTTACTGACTTGCCACCCAAATAACATCCAATACACATAATTTTGTAACTTTTGATTGATCCTAAATATACTACAGCATTTAAGTGTGGTTAAAATGACATAAACTGTAAAAATAAAAAGTAGGTTGAAGAATGATGTTTATAATTTTTCTCGAATCTCAGACTCACTAAAGCGCTATGACACTTTTACAATGAATCCATGTAAACAAATCAATGACTAAATTCCTCAGTTCGCTTTAGTCTTAACCTTCCGCTCAATCAAATGTTGATTTAATTTTCCTTAACTCGAAAGGTAAATTTTGCTAAAGAATCTTTGTTTCACTATTGTACAAAGTCATCACTGCTCTGGTCTATCTAACCTAGAACATTAATTATTTACAAAATGTAGTTGAGGATGAACAGTTGAGTCGTTCAGCTCACTCCACCGAGATATTTACATAAAAATGAGTTGTTGATATATGGATATGTAAAAAAATACCTCATTTACAACATTGTAATTACCACATATGTTATATAAAAATACTGTTAAGAGATAAACGATTTACACATCTGCTTTTTACACGCACAAAAATGAATTTACAATAGGGATATAAAACTGTTACCGTACAAAAATAGGGCCAAAAAAGGCCAAAATAAACTTAAAACTGTCTCCTTATAACAGCTTTTGCCTGTAGGTACAACTGTATACTATTTAACAAACGTCTGTTTCGGGATGCATGAGGTTTAATCTCCCTTAGAGAGAATATACGTTACCTCTCAATCAATGGTATGGTTGAAGATCTTGGAAGACATTTAATGATAGAGAGATTTGGTTAAGACCTTCAAGAACGTGTGCCCGTCACTCACTGGAGGACCTGACTATAAATTAATGGTAGATGTGACAAGAAGCTAAACGAACGAGGAGTATGTTGAAATGTGGGGTTCACTTGATTCAAAATTCTCGTTGTTGTGACCAGTTCTGTCCATGTATAAAACAGGGGGAGGAATCCTTCCGCCGTCCGAGTGATCGCTGTTACCGTCTCGACTAGAACCGTGGTAAGACGGTACTGGAGATATTCTGCCTCCGAACACTGGGTCTACAGTGTGGTAAGAGGGTGCTGGAGATACTGGTGATAACGGAGAAGGCGGGGTGTGATACCGCGGCGGTTTATTAGCAGATTTCATTTGGAGGCTGGGCAACTGTTGTGGTTGCCGCCTTCTACGACCAGGTTCTTCGTCATATTGAATTCTGGGCCGACCCATTGAATTCGCATTTGTCCTTGTATCTCGGTGGTCGTTGCTGCTGGACGACGCCCGATCGGAATATTTCGAGCTACCGTCGGAATCCCGAGGATTTGGGTCAAAGTCGAGGGCTTTTCGGAAACTATTCGACCTTGGATCTCTTCTGTTTCGGTTCTGAATTTCCGTCTTCGGTAGATAACCTATTCCAGTATTTGGACGTGTAGGTGACCGAGGTGGTGTACTGCTATCATCGTTATAGTCCATTTGATCGCGTGATCTTCTCAATGAGCCCGCAGGTCGCGTGGCCCGCGAACGCGAATAGGGCTCTTTACGATCCCGATAAGCTGGTCTCTTTTGTTTCTGCTCGTAGTCCGGTGACATGAATGACGTCACAGCCTCGGGAGGTAGTTGAGACCTTTCAATTCGGTCTAACTGGTCAGCAGATTTGGCCATGAATCTGCGATTATCGTATGCTGGAGGCCCATCTCGTTTGTCCCTCGGTAGAGACATTGCAGAGAAGGACTTGAGAGCTCTAGAGATCGGAACTTCCTCGGGTGTGTCGGATTCTTCCGTTGTGTGCTCGATTAAGTTTCGGCCATTTGCCGGCCTTGTTCGGCCAAGTGAGTTTTTCCATTGCTGGTGGTTAGGATTGTTGGAGTAGTGGCCTATGAAATTAATATCTGCCTGTTTTCTTTTGTACGTCATCTCGGACACTCCGCTGTCACTGTCCGACGGCTCTTCTTTAGAGCCCAAGCTACTCGCATCTTCCTCCGGCTCACGATTAGCGTCCCGATAAGTACTGGGGAGAGGATAAAAATCAGAAAAACGTCAGACATTAAAAACTTGTAAAAGCAGTACAAACATGTAATAGGGATTATGAGTGATACAAAAGTAAAAATAGCCTGTTCCAGGCGAGCCCAGTCGGTAAACAGAACCGTGATGTTACCCGGAGTGGCGTACAGACAACTGCAGAAAATCAGAGCTTGGGAAGAATGCAAATTCTCTTCAATCTCTCCTCTTTGCTCTCGCTTTTCTTCAGTCGCGCTGCAGCTTAGGAGACTGGAACACAACAGATATTTACAATAACACATACATTTGAACGCTTGGAAGAGTTCCACTTCTAATGGTTCCGTTTCGCGAGGAGTTCCTCATCATTTCAAGTGTGCTCTGTGTTGTAGAGGCCCCAGCAGACGAACCTTGATCTGCGTCTTCTAAAAAAAGAGGAATGAAGACGTTACTATCCTTGACCAGTCGCAAATTCCATGAAGAGTAATACACAAAACAAATACAAAACCCACGGTAAGTAACGTGACCCTAAAAATGTTTCTGAAACCAGAGTGCTATTTGCAACCTCTGATTCGATAAACTGGCTCTCTTCACAGTCGATGCTTTCTTCAGTAGGTGGAAAGCCGCCCCCTCGCCAAAACCAACCCAGTACTAGATTCAACAAAAATGACTCCAAACTATCATTTCTGTTCACATTGATAGCGGATAGCCCACATTCTGGTTGTGAAGTAAACTAATCTCATTCCTAGATAATTACCATTTAAATTAGTCAAAAGTAATCAATCAAACCTGCAATAACTATCGTATTTTGCGACATAAGGATTTTTTTCACAAAAATTGCTAATCACAACATAACAGCCAATCTGAGCATGGGTACATATCATCAGTAGCGAATAAGAAAACTGCTTAGAGCGCGGGAAAAGGCGAGTGACCATACCACGACTGGAGTTTGGTTTGCACATGATCAGTTCGTTAGGCGGCGCGAATCTTTAACCAATCACAGCGCGAAATAAAGCAAAACTACTGCAAACTAAGATTACCTCCAACACTCAAAAGAAAACTGTGCTAATAAAAATGCTTATCGACAAGACCGAGGTTTGGCTCTCTTCATTTCCTTACCCTTTCTGCGACGATAGCAGAGGTATGCGAAACCAGCGATCAACAAAACGAGAATAATAAAAAACAGCACCATTAACAGAATAAACCACCACTGTTTGTAAATGATTCCGCTCTGAAGTTCGCTGTCAGCCGGACCTGCAAGGCACAAGAATTATTTGTAAAACGGCTGCCATAATCTCACACGGCGGTATAATAGACCAGCTCTAAATCCGATTTAAAACGGTGAAATGAACCGGGAATTTTGAGTATGTTTACAAGGTTTCCATCCCCACCTCAAACCCTTTATTTGCTTTTATTTTTTCACAAAAAGCTTCACAAGAGCTTTTCATGTATGGTCAAAAGGTACTGAAATCCATAGACACTCTCACAGCGCCTGGCGAGTATAGAAAGGCAATTTAATACTCACTGACACGTTTTGAGGCCGCGTCCGGCTTTTCTGTTCGCTCTTACTTCGCTACGTATATCATCATTTAACGTTCACACGAAATTGAGTCTGAGAGAAATTCACACTTTTCGTGATAAAGTCGAAGAACATTATTCTGAAAAGGTAACTAACTGACCAGTAATAACTCTGTCTGAAGGTTCAGATGGCTTTGATTTGCCCTTCTCGTTCCATGCGATTATTCTAAACCTGTATCCAGTGTTTGGCTCCAGATTTCCAACTGTGTAGGACACGTACGATCGGTTCTTTCTTGTATCGT